CTGTTTATTTTTGTAAAAGATATTTGGCTGTGAGTTTGGATTCTTCTACAATGGCATCTGAAGCACAATGTTCACTCGCTTGTATAAAAATTACTTTAGTGCTTTTTGGTAGTAGTTTAATTTATATATTATGGAAGAAAGGTTGGTGGGTAGATTCTGTTACTGCATTAATATTTAGTACTTTTTTTTCAAAAGAAGGGATTGAAATGATCTATTGGGCTAATAGCGAAAGGTTTGATGGTGGATGTAATGCCAATGTTGTCAAGAAGGTACAAGATGATGTTAATAGTGATGATGACTCAAATGGGACTGAGGGTGGACAAATTCATGTGATTGGTGAAATTGAGGTTGAACCAGTTGTTGAAAAAATGCGCCAGGAAGAAACAAGAAGTGTTGAAACAAAGTGGTGGGGAAATAATGGTACGGATGTAGCATTGGAAAATGGTACTGGAAATTTTGTAAAAAATGACTATGAAAATTTTACTGTCGTGGTAGAGCCGCAGCATCAACAATCTACGCTTAATTAATTTTTCAATTCTTATGATTTGGAAATATACACATATAATCGGTTATTTTTTTTTCTTAATGAATGGTTAACTCATTAATTTTAATTTTAATTTTAATGTTAATTGAATGTATTAAACTTGATTTTTTAAGTGTGCATTTTCTAAGTAAAATTTCTTATATTACAATTATTCGATATAAATTCACAATGGACACGCCTCAATAATATAATAAAATATATGTATTGGCATTTTTTTTTTTGTTTTAGTAACAAATATCTATCCTCCTTATAGCGTAGTGATTGTGGTTGGAAAATTTTATCTATTATAAATCCGTTATAATGAAATATCCGCTATAACATTATATGGTATAATAATAAAAATTTTATATTGTCCTTAAAAAATTTTAGAAAATTTCTCTACTATATTGAGGGAGTAATAATCAAGGTTATAATGGCATCATTTCCGTTAAATCAAAAATCACTGCTTGATTGAATAAATCACAAATAAAAGAACAGATAATATCGGGATCCCTTCAATTCACCGACAATCATTTCACCGAACGATCATTTAGCCGACATCACATAGGGTTAGGGTTAAGCA